AGGTAGGTGTGAAGAAACAACCGTTCATGCAGTTAACCCAATTCAAGTTTTTTGCAAAAACGCATGTTCGCACCGGCTCGCCTGGTGCGTTCCAGCCTGGGTTTTATTTATTGCTGCATTTATTACTAATGTTGGTTATTTATTACAGTGATTCATTAGACTGGTTATCATATTTAGACTAGTTATCATAAATTATCATAATCTGATGCATGAGAAGTACAAAAGGCTGGTCAGCAAATTAGCAGTATTCACTCTTTTTTCACAGCAATCTTATTAACTGCATGACCCGTTACACACTAGAAGGACAGCTGCTTAATGGGTGATCGAGGACAAGAGTACCATTGGTGAATTTTGACCATTTAGCAATAAAAACAATACAAAAAAAGAAAAGTTTTGGTAATTTTCCTAAACACTAAAAATTTTAATTTACGATTACTGAAAAAAAAAGGATTAGTTGTCCGATTTGCGAGGTTCGTAGTCGAAGTGATAAAAAATCGGGCACTTCACAAGCTTCAAAGTAGCAATAAGAACAACAAATCAGCGATGAGCAAACCTAAATATTTTTACGATGGTACGTATCACTCACACTGAAACTGCCATTTCAGGGGTGAAAGCGGTGCTGGAAAAACAGTCAACACAAAACATATCATTGAATACTTGGGCGTTGTTTCGGGGAGCAGGGATAGCTGGTCGGAGTCTGGTGGCATCGATGAAAGAATTGCTGCGTCAGGAATTATCATAGAAGCATTCGCTAATGCTTCCACAATTCACAACAGTAACAGCTCAAGGCTGGTATGTGTTTCAGTAACACCGTTTCAACTGAGACATGATCAAGCGGAAAATGTATACTGCATCTGCAATTAGAAATGCCGGATTTACGAGAAACAGTGGTGTCACAAACTTGCCTGAATTTGGCAAGGTAGTAAAACCAAATTTGGCGTAAAGAAAGCAGTTAAATGGATATTCGTCAAACATGCTTGCACGCAAACATAACCTTCCCACAGTTACAGAAGCGCTAGTAACTGCTCCCAGTTCTGTGCAGTTGCATTTTCAATCAATTTTTATGTGTTTTTGCAGCATTTAATAAAACGCATAAACTCATATTGCCGAAAGTTACATATGTTTCGGTCTTGTCATTCACAATCTAGCAACAGGGAAGCTAGGAAGTCGAAATTTTATTAAGATGTTCCCTGTTTATGTGCGATTAAAATTTCGAATTCAGCTTTGAGCAAGCCTATTTCTTGCAAGCGTACAAGTGAAAGTTCAAGTTGGGACACTTTTGGCATCCTTTTAAGCTGGGAAATGAAAAAAGCAGGGAACTGTACTTTTGAGAGAATTTTTGCTCTCCATGCGCAAGCCTGCAAGCGCGATGTGAGCTTTTATGAACAACTACATCCCGTCTGTGGGCATGACAAACCTCCACTTACAAAATTGCGGCATATTCCTCTTATGCTAAATAAACAAGCAAGAAAGCTAAAATTTCACGAAGTCCACTGTGCATCTCCACCAATTCATCCAATAACCTTTCCCCTATCAAGCGTAGAAAAAAGTACCAACAAATTGTCCAACATGCATATACATATCAAACAGAAAAGGAGCGACCGTTATTACTGTTAGCAAACTTTTTTTTTGCACAAAACTGTGCAAAAATGCATGATCGCGCTCGTGACCTCAGCACATCCTGCAAATTATCGCTTATTTACAGGGGAAATTTATCCGGATGGATTACGACGATGACATGGTGATGAAAGGCGCTCAAATTCAGTCATGTAAGAGAAATATTTCTACGATTTTGAAATTTGTTGTTTGTAGCGTTTTAGCACTTAGTCATCATTTTCCGAAAAGAGTACAACCTATTTCTGCTTTTGTATGTTCTTACATAACTAGCGCTATGCAAAAACGCATATTATTGAAAGGTTGTTTGTGTGTGTGTGTGTGTTTGTGCGCTTTTTTGGACACCTACGTCTCGTACGATAAACTTTAAGTTGCAAAATTGATGGCAGCTTCTTTCGCAGTAATCATACATGCTAGGAAGCCAAAATTTCCAGTCCGTCACAATGCGATACTACCTTCCCAGCCGACCTCCTCCACCCTCCCCGCCCGCCGCTCCCTCTCTCATTTGCGAGAAAGAACCAACAAAAACATTCCAACTTGTGTTTACGTGTCGAACAGTAAGACAGCGACCACACATGTTGTTAACGAACTGACTCCTTCACGAAACAGCGCAAAAACGAATAAATATGGCGGTAACCTTGCCGCTACTGATTCAAAATGAAGTGTTTAGGTCCAATGAATGTGGTGGAAGTTCTAGAACAAAGAAATCCTGGTAAAGAAATAACGAGAGAGTTTTTACAGGCAGTGTAAAATTTTTTCTTGAAGGCTTGGGCATGCATCATTCACTGTTACTGTAATGTAACAGCTATAAAATTCAAAACTGTGTTGTCAGATCTGTTGGAGAAATCTCGTGTTGTAAAACAAAATGAAGGGGACCGGAATTTTCATATATTTTATCAGTTGCTCTCGGATGGTTTCGACGATAATCTTCGTTATTCAATGGGACTCGACCAAGACGCTTGTGCATACAGATTTCTAAGTCAAGGTGGCAAAACTGCCGATCCAGAAATTGATGACATTCAAGGTGCTGTTGAAACGCTGGTGAGTTAAAAGGAGTCATAACTGCCAGTTCTAATGATAAACTACCTAAAATATTTTGATGGACTTTTTTTGACTTCTAACAGTTTTTGTGCGTTTGTATCATCAGCAATGACGCAGTTGTACGAAAGCTTAAATGAATGGTTATCAACGAGCAAAAAGATTATTATGTTGCGATACAACTGTGCTTTTAGCGCATTCGCTCGTTCATTTACTCTGAATTTATCACAACTAATCGTAGGAAATTGTGATGAATAGCCGATATCGTGTGCTTTTTGCTGTCAGATTTTCTGCGCATACAGTGAGTGAATGCGCTAATAACATGCAGCAAGTTGGTCAAACTTTAAAATCTTTTTTCTCAATCGGTTTACATAATAGTTCGCAAAATTTAAATTTATAACAAACTTTTATTGAGGTATAACATTACTTTTTACCAGAGCACAGATCAGTGCAAAACAGAAGTTGGAAGCAAATTTCGAGCTAGTAGTTTTGCATCTTGCCACTTATTAAAGCTCGGGAAACAAGTTCGTGACTTGTCTCATCACAGAAGTGAAACGTTCAAATTGTAATTTTTATGTGTTTTTGCTTATATGCAAATTGCACAAACGCAGATTGCGAGTATGTATGTTTGTGTGTGCGTGTATTTATTTGTGTGTGTCCGGATATTTCAGCTCGGAAACCAAGTGAGCTCCGACGTCAAAATTTTGCCAATGGGTTCCCCGGCCAACTGCCAACCCAGGACCGCGGTACCAGCCCTCACGCAAATCTGAGCTCTGTGTACGAGAGGGTGAAAGTTTTGAAGGGAAAATTGCCAACTCGGAAACAAGAAAAGCCAGAAAACTGAAACTTCGAGGTTTTTTTCCCCGTCCACATAGAACTGAAAGATTTTAAATTCAGCCTTCAGGTGTACGTAGTTCCCGCATACGGGCCCGTGAGGGTTCTTGGCGGGAAAATCGCTAACTTGAGAAGCAGGAAAGCTAGGAGGGTGGAATTTTAAGGGAATGTTCACAACCCATGTAGAACTTAAAGTTATCAAACCCAGCTCCTTGGCATGAGCGATTTTCACGTACGGCTCCCTGAAATTTTCTGGCGAGAAAATGGCTAACTCAAGAGCCAAAAAAACTGGGAGGTTGAAATTTAAAGGGGTGTTCCCAGCCTACGTACAGTTTAAAGGTTTTAAACCCACTCTAAACTCTCCGTTTCCCAATCTCATACAAGATTCAAGACCAAAAAATGTAATATTTAGTTGCCTAGCTTATGCATCTCAAATCCTCTGGTCAGTTATGCACATACGTAAATGAACAGGTATGAACATACTATTGCATATTTCATGATTCACATAAAAGCATGAGGGCCACGTGTTCATGCATGTTCTGAAGGATACACGTCTTTCCATTCTTATAAGAAGGTAGAACGATAAAAATTCCTTCCCAAAGCAATTTTACAAAAATTTTTCTAACTTCTCAAGTGCCTCCAACATTTAAAGGTATTTATTACAGCATGCGATGGATGTAATCCAATTCAGCAAACGTGAAATTAAAGAGATTTTTGAAGTTCTGGCTGGTTGTGTTTTACTTGGAGAAATAAATTTTGCAGAAAGAACTGGTTTTGACATAACATATGTTGATGGAACAAAAGGTATAAAAGTTTTTGAAATCACATAAATTTGGCTTGAAATTACTTAGTTAGCAGATCATCTGTTGCTAGCTTAGTGGCTTTTATTGTAGGATCCGAATTTTTAGAAATATGAGGTGGCGTTGCATCACTTTTACCCTGTTTAAGCATGACTCATTATTTTTTAGGCCTGACGGTGTCAAACCCAGCTTAAAACATTAGAGCGCACCAAATTTTTGGCGTTTCTGCTTAAGATAGCATATTTCTATCTTTATTTTCTCACTATGTAGCATTTTTCGGTGTTTTAAAATGAAATCAGACGATTCTCTTTTTAAAGCTGCCTAACAATTTTTAATTATTTCTGCTGCTTTTTTTGGAATTTAAGCCGTCTTTTTGTTTTCATTGAAATGCTTCAGAAGTAGAAACGGCATGTCGGATGCTCGATGTTAAAACAAAAAATCTTGTTGATGCGCTCACACAGCCTTCCATGAAAGTCAACGAGATCGTTGTCCGTAAAAGTCAGAATCTTGCCAAGGTACCGTAAGACTGCTAAATTTTTTGAAACATTGTACTCTGAATTGATTCTAAATCCTTCACCGTTTTCGATTTCCAGGTGCAGTTCGAACTGTTTTTCGTTCCTCTGGTCTCACTCAACCGAAACATTTACTGAGCAGATAAACTAAAACCCAACTGCATCAGAATATAACTTTGTTAGTCCTTGTGCGCGACAAGGGTTACTCTCTGAGTCATCAAACTTTATTTTATTAAATAACACTATTATAGCCACAATTATTAAAACTTTCCTATCAAAAAACGAAAACATCCGTAGCAATTTTTTATTTGGAGATGGGTACTGGAATATGCCATCCATAAAAGCTAACTTTTCCTGACATCACCAGTGCGTACTAAATGTTTTAGACTTTGAGCTCACTATCCGCGCTATGCAAGACCATCTACGAGCGATTGTTCAATTGGATCTTGTCACGCTGCAATTCGGCGCTGTGTAAAAAATTCCACGGTGAGTACGTTGAGTCTAGCAAATTGTAAATGATAATACCAAAGAGTCGGCTTACTGATCTGCTGTTGGTGATGTTTTTGGGATGCATCCAAGCTTTGCCAGGCTCTTCATTCCTGGGCTGAAATCTTTGGTTGCTAAGCATCGCCAGTTCAATGCACATGCGCCATCTCCTCAGAAGCCGCCGACTGGGCGCCTACTTCCAGCCACCCCTGCTTCACAGCTCTCACTTATTGATGAGTGATTTTTCGGTTCTTATTAATACGCCACGTCCATCAGCTGTTGACAAAAAGCAAGTCTTACACTTCGGATTTTGCCTAATCCTGCGGTCGCAAACTGATATCTTGATTGTCGCTGATTTGACGACGAGTCTATGGTCACCGTGAGGCATTCTTAGCATCCCGTGTTCCGCCGCTCTTGCCATCGCGACCAGTGCTAGAGCTTTGCTTTCAATAACGCTCAATTTCGCACCTTCATGCATTTAACGGAGTAATAATGAATTGGACAGGGATGCACTTCCAAAAACTTGGCTTAATTTACAAGCTTTATTTAAGCGTCTCCTAAAAAGAGTACGCCGACTCGCGATAGGTATAAATGATAAAAGATAAAATTTTTCAAAAACCACTTGCTGCTAAACTCCGTTATTCATCTGTCTTTCATCAGTGCAGAGCAAAATCGTTCAATCATATTTTTCTAGGTTACTGTATTTGTTAGGCACTTCGCTATGTTTATCTTAGGCCATCGGCGTTGCATAACGCTCGCTGCCTAATCTGCTACCGTTCCACGTCAGGACGAAAATGGGTCGAAAACTGTAGGAAACTGCAAAATAATCAGCTGTGCTTCCATTTTTGACAAATTTGCTATCTCCCCGGATAATTCAATCTGTTTAGCTGGGAAATCAGCACGAACGCACTATATTGGTGTGCTAGACATTGCTGGTTTCGAAATTATCAAGGTAAGCACAATGCGTTCCAACTTCTCCCGGTGCTATATTTTGCTTGAGAAACGTTAGCACACTAGAGAAGGCCAGACGTGAAGTAAGGAGCAGCACGTCAATTTTTCTATTACGAGACGCAATCGTCGCTAAAGCTTGTTGCAGAAAAACAGTTTCGAGCAGTTCTGCATAAACTACACCAATGAGAAGCTGCAGCAGTTTTTCAATGACTTTATGTTTATTCGCGAGCAGCGGGAATATCTGAATGAGGGAATTGAGTGGAAACATGCTGATTATGGCATCGACATGCAAAACACAATTGAACTTATTGAAAAGGTCTGCAGTACTCATTTATTTGTCCACCGATGACCGATTCAGCGTTTTTTTTGAGTTTTTTTTTTGCATCTATGGAATGTAAAAAAAAAAAAAAACATACAGTGAAGAGGTTGCGTGTGTGTATGCCCCGATATTTCGATTTCCAGGTCTATGTAAGCTATAAAACTAAAATTGTGACAGATATGTGGGGAACAGGTCTCAAAACTCACTGTGTTACTTTTGCAGCCGCTGGGACTGTTATCACTATTACAAGAAGAATGTCTTGTTCCGAACGGCAACGATCAGTCGCTTCTTGATAAGCTTCTCTCACTTCATTCGAGTAGTTCGGTATTCGCCCGCACAAAACAATCAGCAAGGTGCGCTTGGTTTTCTAACTGCTCTTTTTTGTGGCTGAAAATCAGTTCTGAAAATCAAAATCAGTTTCAATAAATCAGCGCCCGCTAATAAATAAGGAAATAAAGACTTGAACAAGTTGAAATTTAAAATGATACCTTTGCAACTTTTACTCATAAAAATGTTTTGGAGTGCTCCTCTAGTGATCTGAACCGAACAAATTGCCCCTGACTGGGAGCTGTCGCTGAAAAGCTGTTATGACCCTGCTTCGGACTGACATTTTTTCTTCATGTTTTTCTCAGACGCTCACAGTAAAGAAGAGACTTAATGTCCATAAATTTAGCTAGCGATTGTCAGTGGCAGAGCATTACTATTTGTGCTGCTAACGAGTAGCTTGTTTTTTTCTTAAGAGCGTAGTGTGGATGCAGTTTGATTTTAACGAATATGGGGAGGAACTAGTTGTAAAATTACATGTAACCAAAATTTTTAGTACTTTTTTCTACAAATAAAACCACAGTTTTGCAAGTCTCAAAGTACTTTTTTTTCAGACACACAACCGTATCACACTTCACGGTGCTTCATTATGCTGGGAGAGTACAGTACAACATCAGTGGATGGGTTGAGAAAAACAAAGATGCTGTGGAAAAAAATGTGATTGACGTACTCGCTTCAAGCAGCAAATCAATTCTGCAGCTTCTTTTCCCGCGCTGTTTGTTTAATTTTGCAGTTTCAATTTGCATAACTCTTCCTGCACATTTCGTGATAAAACAGCAACTCAAAAACAGCTCGTACTGTCGGGACCCTGTATATATGTACATGTGCGTTTACGCGTGAATATTCGGATTTTTGTTCAAGGCCTGCTGCGTGCCGTCGTTTACTGTTTTTATCGATATTTTTGGCAGCCAAGGACTAAACACGACGTGTGATATCCCTCATCTCTTCTGTCTTCTCAGCTGCATCCGTATCAAAAATCATCTAGTTCCTAGCAAAATTTTTCAGATTTTACTTCTTTTTCATGATACTGGACATTTTCGCCCCAAAACACTTATCGAGCGGGTAGACAGGGTCTGATTTTGAGTAAACTTCAAGTTCCTTTCAAATTGTCTCTGCTTTTAAATTACGTTTTTTGTCGAGCTTCCGCTCCTTCGCAAATTCTCAGCCCAAACATCTCGTTATGGTGCGAGATTTCCGTTCTTCAAATTCCGCTTATGTAAAAGGTGGTGAAAGACTAAAGGGTGTTAAGCCAGAGCAGGATACGAACCCCTGCATCTCAAAAATGTAAAGGAAACGCTATGTTACATTTCCTCCGACTCTGTTGGAGAACACAGATACATTAGGCTGACAAACGAGTGATATTCCAGAAAAAAAAACACACACACACAGAAACAAGCTTTGTTTAATTACACCGAACAAACCAAACAAGCATTTCATTGAAAAATTCGATCTTATTAGTCGTTTAATTTGCTCTTGCAATACCAAAATTTTTTTGAACGGTCCAGAATGTTAAGAACCATTTGAGTTGGCCAAGTTTTGTAAACTGGTTCTATGTCTAAAAATTTTTTTAATGCGCAATGTTCGATGTCAGGTTTCACAGACCAAGTTCAAAAATTTTTTAAAAGAATGATATAGTTTACAGATGTTAGGCATAAATCAAGAAATCCTATCTCTTAATGCAGCAATCAACTAATCGAGCTGCAGAATGCGAAAGAATTTGACAAAACTCATTTCATTTGCAGTGGATAGTGAAAAACCACAGTCAAGAAGACAGTCCATGTGTGCCAACACCGTCTCCTACGTGTACAAAGTATGTTGCTTCAAAGTCAGAGCAGTAAAAGTAACGACTTCATCATTTTGAAAAAAATCCAGATGGTTATTGCACTTCCTTTGCAAATGTTTCATTTTAAATGATGATGCTAAAATCGATTTTTAAAAATATCTCTCATCTGAGCTACTAACGTGAATGATCAAACTAAAAATAAAACAGCACACAATGGTACCGTACATTTGAGATGGAAGAGGAGTTTCAAACGTCTTTTTTTTTTGGACGAGGTTTGCCAAATCTGGTACTGGTGGCGAGAAGGAACGCATCGATAAACAGCAGTTGATGGAAGTAAAAACAGCAACTGGGCGCTGAACATAAATCATAAATTAACTATTCCATGATTCCAGGAGCAGCTGATGAACTTACTGGAAACACTCAGATCAACCAGTGCACACTTTATTCGCTGCATTGCACCAAATCGGAAAAGATTACCGGGTGTGATTGATCCTCATCTTGTACTTCATCAGCTCAGGTTCCTTTAAAGCTTTACGCAAACATTCAGTGTCTCAACATTCTGTAGCTCGTCGAACTTGCACCTTTTATAAGAACACAAACACACATCGCAGGCATCACTAATGCTGTAATTGTTAATGAGTTGAATACTTCTTTCTCGCCTGTTAAATATTTTGTAGAAAAGCACGCATAACATTCAAATTTCTCGCTAAACAACTGAGTTGCAAATAATTTCAACAGCAACTAATGCGAACATCCATTTCGTCGAAGGATTCGATCTTTTAACTCCTCTTATTTAGCAACCACCATTCCCAAAAAAGCGGTGCGTTCAAAACAGAGGAAAAAAGACGAGCGAATACCCAATTCAGCTTCCGAAAAATCATCTCGAGACAAGCAGCGAAAAGCTAAAGTAATATGGGACTGCTCTGCTTCGCCCAGTCAGTATACGGAACGAGCGAGAAAAGTTTTATTCTGCCGAGTGGACTGCATCTGTTCTTTTTTTACAGTTTCCACGCAATTTTCATCAGTTCCTCCATCTATATGAACTTGTAGAGGTGGAGTGTTCAACTGAGTGTTCAGCCTACTGTATGACACCAGTATTACTTTACACTGTGTGATATTTGTTACACAAGGGTGACATTAATGCTCGATAATGAGATTTTCAAAGCTCATTGTGTGACATCTTTCCGTAATGGCAGAATAGAGCAAGCAATAGCGGTAAATTTCCGGCTAATTGCACAACAAGCTATAATATATGTATTTCAGAGATGTCCAGAAAATGCTGTAAAAGATGAAAAGTGTATACTGCAGATGCAATGGCGTGCTGGAAGGCATTCGTATTTGTCGACAAGGATATCCGAATCGAATACCGTTTGATGATTTTGTAGCAAGGTACCGCCTGCTAGTACCTGACGCTCAGCTCGGCATGGGACGAAATGCAGCTGAGCGACTCTGCCATGCGATAGATCTCGATTCCACGTATGTACAGATTGGGAAAACGAAAGTTTATTGCAAAGTTGGAGTTATTTCAGAAGTGAGTACAACATTTGATTCTTTTACAACTTCAGTATTTGAAGAACTTTACTTGGCGTATTATTTTTTATGTACTGTTTGTACCCACTCGGGTGTAAGCCTTCGCCTGTTGTTCGCCTTATTGCTTCTTCGTAAATAAAGCATACTATTTGTTTAGCTGGAAAACCGGCGTAAAGACCGACTGAATTTGTACATTTGTGGGATACAGTCAGTTATACGATGGTATTTACAGCAGCAACGGCATCAGACAATTATAGAAAAAAGGTAATTAGCAAATTTGAACTCCGACTACTTGCGTCTAGAATGTCTTCTTTTCGTTGTTCTTGGGGTTATCAAGACCACTCAGACCGTTGATAAATGGTTTTTCCTCAGTGCTATAACATCCATAATTTTTCAGCAAGAACAACATATCCTGCACATCCAACTTTAATTTTTTGTGTATCGCAATTTGTCGCAGTGATTTTGTACATGATACTCTTTTGCTACTACTTATTTGAACATAGCGTATTTCCAGAGATGCTGTTCTAACAATACAAGAGAACGTGCGTTGCTTTGCAAAGACATCTTCTTGGAGATGGTATCAACTTTTATTGTCAGTTAAGGAACTGATACCTTTGAACAAGCACAAAATAAGATTGGAAGAGCTGCAGAATGAAAACGACGAGCTATTAAAGGTAGTGGCGACTACCAGCCTTGGATTTTTTTTCTTTCCGTTTCGTACGGTGATGGGTCACTTTGTTTTTCCAAGTTCTCATTTCATACTGGTATCAGATGCCGTATCAGAATCTGAAAAATGCGAAACACATGTCTGCTGTCTGAGATTGTCCAGGATAAAGTTCTTACAGCGATGGCTTTTACTGTCGTTGTACTTTTGCAAAGCTGCGAAGAGAAGAAACAAGAAACACACACATACACATTGGATAGGCCCAGAAACCTGTTTAAACCAACAGTGTTGTCCAACAAGCTGCACTTTCTGCGAAACCAGTGGTGCCTCAGCCGTTGCTTGTTACCAAACCCTGATGAAGCTAATAACATTGTTCGGGTCACCGTCATTGCATTAGCTGAGAACTTTGAACGATGCCGTCTTGTATCCTAGAAAAGACCAGTAGTGGGTTTACCTATTAGCAGCGGTAAACCGTTGTTGGATACGTCCGGAAATCGAGCTTATGCCGTGGCTATCTGGATTCTGGTATATTAATCGCTATAAACATTAAAAGAACGTAGAAAAAAGGACGCTTTTTCCAAAATTAGTAAAGTTGAAGAAAAAACCAAGAATTTAATCAAGAAGCCCAATTCCTGATCTCACGGCAGGTCTGAGGAGCTTGAAGAGAGGAGAGAGAGGGTAGATGCAAGGAAAAAATCGCCTTCTTTTCAGTATTGTATGGATTGTTTTTCCAAAATCCAGACCTTATTGTATGCCTTTTGAATGGATTTGAAAAGGATGAGAAAGGCTGCATAAAATTGCATTGCAGAAGATAAGCAATTTGCAAGAGAACTATGAAAGTGTGCAGCAACTCTTTGAAGAATCCCGCAGCAAAATCATAAGCGTACGTCTTTTCAAATCTTTATGACATCCTTTGTGCTGGTTCCGCCTACATATCTCATAAATCATTTGAGTTCTGCGATGTATTTTATTGAAATAGTAGCCTTAACCAACATCAGTGATGTGATGAGAAGCTCTGAAAAGGGAAAACTGCTGGCTTCTCCTTCGTTTCAGCTTTTTTTTGCTTCGAATCTTGAGATTTTTGCTTGTTGAAATAATGCTAATTGCATAAAAAAGTATCATTTTTTAAGCTTGAGAATGAGAAAATTCTGCATGCCAAAGAAAACGATGAACTGAAAGAGGAGATGGCAAGACATGAGCAACTCATGGAGCTAATGGAGAAGCGCTTCGATGAGCAGCACGCCAAAGTCATGGTAAATGTTTTCCCATTTTTTGGTCTTTCGGTATTGAAAATGTGGATATTAGTTATTATCCTCAGCTGAAAAAAACTGCGAACAAATAGTCTTACCACTTAGGCAACGTTTCCTGTCCGGAGGAATCTATTTCCAGGGGCGGTTTGCTGCACGCAGTTTAACGGAACGCAAAATGAAATAACGGCAGTCATAATGCCGAAGTATCAAGGATGTCAACAAAAACAAAGCTGAAAACTGTTAGCTTGATGTATTTTATTTTGCAGAAAATACACAGTTGCCTGAGAGAAAATGAAAAGAGAACTGAAACAATTGAAGACGAAAAAAAGGAACTCGAAAATCAACTATGTAAGGTGAGCACGCCAGCCTTTTTAACGACAACAACCGCATTCCAAGCGCAGTTTAATAAGTAGTTGCTGAGCGCGCTTTTGGACATAGACTGAAGTTCTAATAGTTCTTTACCGCAAGCATTTTGTACCGATTTTTCTGGTTTTTTTCTTTTTTTTGTAATGTGGTTTGATAAACTAATTTGAGATTCACTTATTCCACTATTAAGTGAG